TCTCTACTGCTGCCTTTTTGTTCTACATTAAAAATAGATGAGGATGTTAGTACAAATACAGGTACCAGATACAGATGTTAGTAGATTAAGAGATAGCAGATACAGATTCCAGCTCTTTCATCTTCCCAGGAAATGCATAACATGAATTGATGACAATAATCTTAGGTAGTGTCATCAAATTAGCAATAAATTATCCATGTGTTTTTACATATATGCACAATTAATTCCCAGAATAAGATACCAAAGAGACCAGTGGACTGACCACCTTTTGGTTCTTCAGACCAGAGTGGAATGTCTTTCTAGAAAGACTCATTCATTATAGGGTTAAACCCAGGTGGTGGGTTCCACAAAGGGACAGAGCAGGGGATGTGCATCTTGTGACATGCAAGGAGTCAGACAAGATAATCTCCATCTCTCAACAAATACTGAACTCTTCAGGTACAAACCTGGATGTAAAAATTAATTCAAGAGTGAACTGAGCACACTATGTATTTATACATGCTTTATGTACAGAAATTTCTCTCCACCTTCAAACATTTCCTTTACTGTGTCTAACAAAGTATGGGAGAATTAGTGAGATGCTTTTTATGCCAGAGACTTCTTCGGTAATTAGAAGTAAATCACTTAATTTTTGTGCCTTGATTTGCCCACTTCTGGAGAATCCATCTCAGTTTTCCTCAGTTCCTGTCTTCATGCTGGAGAGGCCTCTGGGAGGAACTGCATAAATGCATTCTTCCAAAAAGACACAAATAATGTGAAATTTCAGGTAGGGCACAGGACTGATGTTTCAAATAGATCAGAGAGCTTTCATCCTGCAGAAGGTACTCGTGTTACCTTGGTCAGCAATCCATCTGTACTGTGAACCTTGATGAGATAAATACAATTGTCCTAGGTTTGGTTATGTAATGAGCTTGCTTTGCAATTTAACTAATGAATGTGTTGAGAGACCAGAATAATCTTCTAACTTCAAGAATTTCTCCCAGTGGAAAACATATAGTGCCTGCCTATCTGTAATATTATCCTCTCCCTACAGCCAGTGTGATTTGGCCACTTGAATGTTAGTTTTGCTTATGTATGTAAAGCTCAAGTGTTCACAGATTTTTTTTTTTCTGGAAGAGGTAGAAGGACCCCAAGATTCCCTTGAGAATTTACAGGTGGGTCTGTGGGCTTTCCAAGTCAAGGCCATTCTGAGGAATGCCATATAGGCTCTTTGGTGGGATGATTTTTGTTTCTGGTATGGTACAAGTTGCTGGTTTGGGATTTTTCCCAGTAGGCCCATATTTAATCCTGTTTTCTCTCAGTCTCTGAAAGCAGTCCGTTTCAGAAAAATAGTAGTCTGGTACTACTGTTGGTTCATTAACTGAGGTCAAGAGATTATTTTAATCTTGAGATTTTAATTTCCTCATTATGCTCTTGTTCTCCTTCTCAGGAGCCATCTAGAAAATGTAACGATACTGGATACAGAAGATCCAGTAGGTGCTTATAACAAATGAAACTTGACTTCCCAGAGTAACATACACTTTGTAAGAGCTTTGCCAACTGTAAATTATACCAAGTAGGTCAGTTTTGGAAGTCAGCATCTTAGTTAAACTGTCACACTGTACAGAATTGCTATTTAATATTGGTGATTAATGACTACAAAGTCCAACCTAATTTCCAAGCAGACTGTCAGTGGCACTCAGTAGTCAGCAGAGTCCATAGTACAAGTGCTTGGCAATCCTTTTATATTTTGTGATCCAATTCAGTCGCTCCTTTCACACAGAGGAAACAAGAGAGGGAACTGATATGAAAATGCTGGCCTGCATACTGGAGTTGTGTCTACACCTGATTATTCCCCTCCTAGAGTTTTTTCCTATTCTTCTGTATGCGTCTACAAACTGAGGTGTAATCCCATGGGAGAACATTGAATGTTTGTGCCAGGTGTGCATGTGGTCTGCCATTTGGAGGTCAGGAGAGATAGTTTCCTCTGGGGGACTCCAAACTCCTCCTGTCTCATCTGTCCCCACCACTCTGAGTTGTGACCCACAGCTCTTGCTGCTCCTTTCCTGGCATCATTCCTTCTCACTGCTCCTCCACTGAGTCAGAGGGCCAGCCAGATCTACCTGTCCCCTTTGTCCTGGTCCTCATCCCACACTGGGGACAAGGGTGTATTTTACCATTGTGGGTACATCATAGAAATCCCCAAGGAATCTCTAGTGCTGTTGAGTACTTGAAAGACACAATATGGCTCAGGCTCCTGCCAGAGCTGTGTGCACATGTAACATGCACTGGAAAAAGCTCTTTTATTTCCTTTTTTGTAAGTAGTATGCTGCCTGGCCTGGACCAGGGACTGGGAGAGAGTGGTCAGTGGCAGGCAGAGAGCTGACCTGACCCCTTGCCTCTTCCACTCCAGTTTCACGGGGCTTCACAGGAGGATGCACAGGCCTCTCTGCAGGACACAGTGATCTTTTCAACCCAACACAGATGGCACCTATTACAAGATTATCAACTAACATTGATTACTACAGTTTCCCCTAATATGACATAATCTTTTAATGTAGCTTGCACAGTGTGTACTGCCAATGTTTTCAATGTATGCTGAAATAATTTAGTTGAAGTAAATAAATGAGTAAGTCTAATACAATAGAGTTTATGACATGTCCTCCTGGAAATAATTTCAGCAGTAGTGAAATATGGAATATCTGTAACTTGAAATGTCTGTCTTTATACCTCTATTTGCACAGCTTGAGACACATGTATAGATTTATTTTAAAATTAAACAGCTAAATATGTAATTTTTTTGCCTGCAGTGTATAAATCTATACCAGAAAATTAGAAGTTTATCAAGCAGTGCTCAATGCACCAGTCAGATCTATGATACCCTGTCATTTTGGTGCAAATTAATGAATTGTAGTAGGAAAATGGTCTCAGAAAATCTGCTGTAGGCAAAGGAGACAACTGATAAATAATACAGTACACAGTAGTTTAAAGGAAGTTCTTCTATGCTCTTTCCCAGCAGATAAAAGACAGGTTCAGCTAGGATATTCCATCAACAGGTACCAAAGAGCTCACCAGCAATTTGGTTCAGAGCCAATAAATAACTCACCTTCTAGGAAATTAATTTTCCTGATACGTATAAAGAAGTATAAATGTCATTCCAGAGTGAAGAATTTGGACAGGAATGAGTGCCCAAGAGGGCTGTTTGTGTGAGCAGGAGAGCAGAGAGTGTTTTGTCTGAGCAGAGACTTACAGAATTTGAGTGGAAAGGAAAACAGGAAAGCATATCACTAGATAGGAAAGGCAATTTAAGCAATTCAGTAACATTACCGTGAGAACAAATGAGTTTGAGCTGGCCCTTAGTCTGGAAACTTAGAAAAGCCTCCCAGCAGAGGGAGGGAGGACAAACTTGGCCAGTTGCTAGGATGGAAATTAAGTCTGTAACTGAGTGTCTGATGTGGTCACCTGTGACAACAGGGCTCTGGGCTTCCTAATCTGGGGCAAGCAGCCTCAGAGAGGCCTCCCATGCGAGGAAGGATTTAAACACAGGCTTTGCTCTGTGGGGATGTATTTGCTAATATTTAAGCTTCTGTAGCTTAAGCATGTTTTTAAAAGTACATTTCATATGCATAGTTCAATTTTGCAGACGACTGACGCATGAGGCTTGCATATCTGGCCTTGTGATGCCATGGACATCTGGTCCCGTGCGGGCTGTGTCTCTGCATCCTGCACCCATCCTGGGGGAAGAGCAGCAGCTGCAGAGTGCCCCAGATCCAGCACAGCTCTGCCTGGGTTTTGAACAACTGTACACTGAGCACTGGCAGACTGGCTTGGCAGGAACCCATCCCAGGTTTTCTTGAGCAACTTGGAGCTGAGGTGCTATGCTGTCAGGGCAGAAAAGGCAAATAGTACGGCATTCAAACACAGTATCTACAAATACAAAATATAAATACTGCATTCAAATACATCCATCCAGCTAAAGGGTATGACTGTTACACTTGATGGTAGAACTTGATGTGTCCTTTGATGATTTCTTAAAATAAATATTTAACAAGAGATTTAATAGTCACAAATAAGAAGCATGCTTTTAAAATGTTTTAAGGTGGAAACAAACTTGCATAAGAATAAATTGGAGGCCAAGACCTGGTAGCAGTAGATGTTTACATCAAAGGCTGGGGATTTCCTCCTGCATGTTTTCAGCATTTACTGCAGTTGCTTGATTCAACTCCATCTCCAAAGCTGTCTTCCTTCCTAAATAACACCTCCTTCCTTAGGAACAAATGCTTGAGATGGCTGAAGTAATTGCATTTATTAGTGATTCATGTAGTTGGAAGGGTTTCTTTTAGTCTATTGAAAATATTTTTTTTTTAAATATTTTTTTTGCTGCTGCCTTTTTTTGCTATTAACATTCACTCTCAGCTGTTGCATCACAGTGTAGCAGCAAGACACCTTATCTACAGTACAACATTTTATCCCCTTCTTGGGTGCTTTTTAAACTGACCTTTACTGGGTAAGAGGGTTTAATGCAGTCTTAATTTTGCAATGTTCAGAAAATTAAGAGCTTGTATTTTCAGACAGCTGAATTTGGGATTCACAAATTGCTCTTATGTCGTTCAAGTGTTCACCACCAAGTATAAAGGAATAAGGTGAAGATTTTCAGATTACAAACTATCAATTCTGGGTTAGAACTTGTGGACCCCGTCTTCCTTTTCAAAGGGGAAAGCCAACATGAATCTTCTGTCTTGAAGCTATTTTCAGGATGGTCCGCTTGTATTTGTTAAATTTGAGCCATGTTGATTGTCAGGTTAAAAGAAGAAAAGAAACGCAAGGAAGAACCTGACTGAAAATGAACTTTGGTATATCCCGGAAAGAAAAGTAAAAGCTTCAAGTTACACTATTGTATGAGCAGCCTGCACATGCTTATCTGCCTGCAGGAGACATGACCAGGAGGGTGTGGTCTTTTAAACCTTAAATTGCTCAGGTTTATGCAATTCAGCTTTTCTGTATCTTCTGTCATGCCATAGGCTTCACCATCTGACACAGGCATCAGCCGCTGTCTGCCTGCAGCTGAGGGCTGAGCACAGGCCCTGCCAAGCTGCTCCAGCCCCAGCCTGGTGATTTTACACCTGCATGACTCCCTGCAGTGGATGAGAGACACAGCAAAGCCACACACGTGAGTTGAAAGACTTGTATCTTTCTTTGTGCTGTTCTTGCTTTTCTCCTTGAGCTTGGCGTGAGTTGTTCCAGAGGAGCAAAGGTGGGAAAAATGCTCTGGTAAACAAACCAGCCCTGTTTAGTGGCAGGGGAGTGGGCTCAAACCTCAAACCTCAGCCTGCACACTCTAGAGTGCCATGCAACTAGGCAGTGATAAATATCTGTGTCTGTCATTAGTGATTCAGCTTCCCCATAGCCCAGTGTAGAGCTTGTTTCCATAATCTAACAGAAATGGCTATACAACATACCTGTAGGTTGCTGCACTTCTTGGTAGGCAGTGTTAAAATACTACTTACACACATACATGCTGGCATGCAAAAACTGCTTAGTTCATAACCTTTTTGTTAGCTAGATGTGCTTGGGTTTCTGTCTTCCCCATTGCTAAGAAGATATATTTCTTCAGTAAAGTGTGTTGAAATCCAAACAATTATTTGTGGAGAGGTGTCATTTGTACTGTAGCTGCTTTAGCCCATCACTTTATTAATCCTCTGGAAACCCATTTCTTCCCCTCCCCCAGGTTAAAACCCACAAAGTCTCATTGCAGATGTAGGAGGTGAATTGAGGCTACATTCACCACTGCTGTATCTTCCTGCTTGATTTTATGCATATAACTGCAGCTGAGGTGAGGGAAAAAAGAAAACTTGATTCCATTTTTATCTTTAGCTCATGTTCTTCACACTTAATCTTACACTTAGTTCTTTACTCAAAACATCCTGGAATTCAGTACCAGTATATGCCGCAGTTGCAAACCCGTGAATATACATGAATAGGCATAGCTGCTTCTAAGTTTTATTTATATCCATAAGACTGATTGTTCATATGAGAATGTGTATATTCACAGTGCCAACACAGAACCCAGAACAGCAATGAGGATACATGGACATCCTCACTCACTGAAATGCATACTTAGAGTACCCAGCAGACAAGAGGTCCGAGTACATAAATCAGAATGACCTGTTCACATGTTTAAACTTCTTAATGTTTTGGGTTGTTTTTAATGACCAGGGATGGACTGCTTGCATCAAGCTCTTAGCCATTTTTACATCTGCCAAAGAAAAACACAAAAACCAGAAAAGGTGCATATTAGAATTGTATGTCATGGTTTTCTATGATTCCTGATAACTATGAAAAGGTTCCTTCAACAGCAGGAAAAGCAGGACAACCTTAGGTGACTGTACTGGGCACTATGCAAGGCACTTGCTTTCCCATAATCTTTTGTAGAAATGGAACTCCCACTGCACAAAACACTTTTCATTTGCTTATTCAGGTTCATGCAGAACAACATCAAGCAGTTCCATCAGTTCATTGAAACAGCAGTGTTTCTTATCTGCTGTTGCTGGAAAAGCACAAATGCTGACCTGCAAGCAAAAGCCAGAAATCACTGTCAGGAATTTGGAAAGTTGCTGGTGTGTGAGAAGTTGTATCCTCAATACTCCCATCTACTTTCCTAAGACTGAAAATTCCTCTTAAGGAAGTGATCTGTTACTAATTTGCTATTTTATTCTTCCACCCCAAACCTCAGAGCCTACGTGTATTTTCCAAAGATATAAATGGAATCAATCTGGGAAAGCTTTGTTGTCTCTCATCGTTGTTTTATCATTGCCCCCTGAAAGTACTCTCCCACTGCTAACTTCTTTTACTTGTTTGTGGTCCTGTAGAAGTGTCCTCCCCTTTGCTCACATGGGTTCTGCTTTCATAAGGGTATTCCAAGCCCATGTGTTTGAACATTAACTGCGTGAGGACTTTGTTGTAGCAGAAAGCTGGAAAGAGGAATGTTCCTGGCTCTGAGTTGTGATCATCTACTAGAAAAGAAAATTGAATTGTCTTTTGGAAGAAGTTTGAATGTGCTGGCATTTTCCCTAGTATAGCTTTTCTTTAGTAAAATGGAAATAAATTTTGCATGCAGGATGAGATGATAGCTTAACTCCATTTCACTGCAAACCAGGAAATCAAGCAGCATTGTTTCCAGAAGGAAAGCAAATTAATACAGGCTTTCAAATGTATGGAGTCTCCTCAAGGCTGGCTGCTGGAGAGAAGCAGTCTAGTATTTCTGGAGATGTCAGCCTTGTCTGCAGGGCTGGGTGCTGCCACCTGGCTCCTCTCACTGTCGGAGTAGATGGAGGCCTGTGTTTGATTCGGAGGGACTCTGTGGCCAGAACCTTTTGAGGAGGTAATGAGACCCCACTCTTGCTAAATGGGTGGGCACTGGTGTCCTGCAATGCTGCCCAACTGAGCACTTGTTTGCTGTGCATGTCCAGTTCTTTCACAGAAATTAGAAGTTGGGATGGACACATATGCAGTTGATTTTTCCAAGGCTTTCCCTAAAGGCTCAACCTGAATCTGCAAAAATAATCATCATCTGAATCATGGGATTCAAAATGATTCAGCACAGAAGACAAACTTTCACCTTCAATACATGTTCATGGAATTGTTAGTTGGCAGTTCCTGTTGTGTACAACTGCTTCCCACTGTGTACTGTTCTCATCCCTCTGAGTAAAAATCAATTCCTCCTTTACAAGGAACTAAACACTCAAACTTCCTACATGTCTAGCTGCTCATGGAATCCTCTCATTGGTCCTCCAGTTTCATTTCAATACACCAGCAACATTCTTACTGGAACAGTCTTAATAAGATAGATGGGTTTTATCTGCCAGTAATTTCTTATTAAGAAATGCTTCCTATTTCTCTGTCTGGATTGGTATATCTTTCAGAAAATGGCTTGTTTGAAAGCAGATAGATTTTTATTGATTTTGGATATAATTTCTGTCAACTTTTTGCTTGTCTTTTCCCTAACCTTTTGCTTTCCATGGTTATAGCTACATGGTATAAATTGTGTTGAAATGCTGGTATTAAAAAGGCATAGGTGATGCTATTATCTTATTTAATTTTCTACTACAAAGCTGATTTTTTTATTATATATTTAACAGTGTCAATTCTCACAGGATTTTACAAGTAGAACCCACTGCTGGAAAGTATAGCTTTGGGTTCTCATAGTTTTAGTCTGAGAACTCATCTAATCACACTACTGCGATTTAAAAGAGTATCTCAGTTTAGAGCCAGTCAAAAAGGGCCTGAAATAAATATGATTTGTAGAAGGAACTTCAAATAATTAAAAAATCCCCTTGCCTGCCTGCACACAGCAGATGACATCTGATTGTGAGATGGATGCAGGAAGCAGGACAGTTTGAGCATGTAATTCCTAATTGGTTCTCATCACGGGACTAAGCAGCACACAATTGGTCTTCACACCCACAGAACCAGTTCTGGAAGCAGATATTAATTCAGCCACAGACTTAACTATCTTTCCCAGGCTGGTGTCACTGTGTCCTGGCTGACAAAACCTTAGCAAGCCTCTTGTTGTTAAGGGGAGTATTACAAGGCCATCAGCACCATATGCATGTTAATTAGCAATGGGCTTTGGGGGAGTTCCCATGAAGCCCTAATTAAAGCAGTGATGAATCAAGTCCTGTGAGTAGTACCATACTCAGGGCTGTTGTTTCTGAGCACTGAGCAGATGAAGGCAGAACCAGGCTCTACAGGATGTGTTTTGGTGGCTGAGGGCTTGGTCACTATAATAAACAAAATTTACTTGCTGAGACTTTTGTTGGGCAGGGAGCTTAGTCATTATCCTGCTACCAAAAAAAAAAAAAAAAAAAAAAAAAAAAAAAA